TGACTATATGATGGTGAAGCCCTGAAGCTGACCAGACGTAAGATCGAAAATTTGAAAGTACGAAACGTAAGAATAGCTGGCACTGCTACTCATACCTAAGCAATTCGCAGCTTGTAGGAAACCAGCTTTGAGTTGGCAAGACTGCAAATTTTGATTTAGAGGCAAGGATGCTTGAAAAGGTGATCGATCTTAGGTGTCCTAGGATAAATTTGGAAACGGGATGCACCATTCGATGTGTTTTGGGCTTTGCCAAGTTTCGCGGCGTTACGTGCCTCGTTTTTTTTTTTTTTTTGCATACACGATCAGTATCTACTTTTGGGATTTCCGATTTTCGGTCCCCGTCCCCCCCTATCGAAAACCCGTGGCGCCGCCCCTGGTGGCTTCGCTGGAGATTCTTGGCGATTTTCTGTTGGCCCAATGTCAGCTTCAGAATTACAGCCACGGCTTACCGGGCATATTTGTTTTTCGCTCGAGTGAGAGCTGGGATAACAACTGATGGAAGTTTGTGAATTGATTAGGCGGTTTCCTGATCCGAGCCATAAGCGTTGATTGATTGTCTCTAATCGCTTCCTAGCTGGATTTAATAGTAGTTACCTAACACGGTGATGGTCTAATGATTCGTGTTTAGTTATTCACTGCGGTGATCTTGCCCACTCACTCTCACTCTGCAAATTCAAGCACCACCAAATGGGCTCTTGAGCATACCCAATGGAGTGCTGAGATGATGGGGTAGCTAGCTGCCCTAGAATTTGACCAGCAGTCAATAAAGAGTTACCTTTGATCGGCCGCTTCTTACAGCTTGTCTGATCTGACGCGAGCTCTCTTGTGGTACGCTGAATTCCACAAAGCAGAGTCTTCCGTCTTCGGTCTTCAGAGCACTCGGCTCCACAACCATCCGGCCACAGATTAGACGGCCGTCCGTGACACAGAGGGCAGAGTTCGACAGCCGTTCGTGGCTCGTGTGCCGGGTTCGCATGTCTCACGGCCAAAGTATGATTACAGTAATACCCCGGTCGGCCCGGCCACGCGATAATTGCCGCTGGTTTAAGCAGAGCGTGTCATGATAATAGTGGCGATATTCGCACCACTTATGTAACTGAGCGACATCTTTATACAGTTGCATTGAGTTCAACTTGTTGAGACGGCTCCAAAATCATACTCGACCTTGTATTACCAGCTGCTTTGTTATGGAGTTGCTCTGGATGACGTTTTGTGCCCTGCGACACACCAAAGCGGATTCAACCAAATGTGATGTTACCGCGTCACGGTAACGTATGTACCTCGGTTCGTTGTTGACCTGTTTTGAGCACATCTGAGATCCCACACAATCACATCCCGCAGCTCGGAGCATAGACTGAGCATGCAGATAAGAATAAATCCCGGATCGGCGCTGCGAATAATTGACAGGCGACAGCTGCCGCGGGAACCCGACTTCAACACGAGATCTGCCGCCAGCCACGTAATAAAGATCGTAGAATTTACAGAACTTTCATCTTAAAATGAAAGTTCTGTATGGCTGTTAGGCAAGATGAGTTGCAACTTGTTGCTCAACCGTTGGTATCGCTAACTTCCTGGATTAAAATGCTCAGTCGGATCTGTGGTTCTACTCTTCGCATGAAGTTAAGTGCACAGTGCACACTGCATAGTTTACACTGCTCTCTCAGCTTTCTCCCTTACTCTCTCTCTCTCTCTCTCTCTCTCTTTCTCTCTCTCTCTCTCTCTCTCTCCACTCTCTTTCCCTCCCTCTTTTCCTTTCCCTCTTCTATCCCTCTTACCTTTCTCCGATTGAAGTTCTTCCTCTCCTTCCCTTCCCCATCGCTCTTTCTCTCTATTACTTCATCCCTCTCCTCCTCTTTCTTTCTCTCTCTCTCTCTCTCTCTCTCTCTCTCTCTCTCTCTCTCTCTCTCTCTCTCTCTCTCTCTCTCTCTCTCTCTCTCTCCTTCCCACTGCTCTCTCGGCTGCGCTATCAGCGCCGCTCTCAACCGCCTGGGGCCGTATCGACTTGTCGGATTATTGAAGCCGAGGGCCTGCCGGGTCGTTACCGGCCGCGCCGGCAGAGCTGTTTATGACCGCCGCAACGTCAGGTCGCCGTCGACACGGACCACTGTACAACGTCGGCGCCGACGCGCAAAACGTCGGCGCCGACGGACGGGTTAGTGACGGCCGCGCCTCACATTTACGGACCACGCGCCGCCGCCGCCGCCGTCTTCGCCGGCGCTGCCGCCGTTTAATTTTCGTAGTCAAGCCCTGCCTACTAATTATCAGTGTGGTGGCTGCCAAATTGATCCCGTATTGTTCATTTATCCTCATTGCGTGTGCAGGAAATTTCCTTGTGTGCGTGTAAAGACCAGGCAGATTTGCGGTGTCGGTAACGCATAACCAAGTTTCCTTACCACACAATGCAAATGGGGCATTCCACGTCAAATCAAACACCGAAATCCGTCATCCCCTTCGATTTTTTCTGAAAATTTGTAGGCAGACTGGGCATGGTTCAAAACTGAGTTACGTGTAATATTTTCGAAATTTGATAACGTATCGCCGAGATATAGGTCATCGAATATAGCCAAAAATGCCACACATCATTTTTTTAAATGCTTATAACTCTGGTTCCTTTTCTGGTATCAAAATGATATTAACAGGGTCTTGTAGGCAATTGATAAGGCTTTGATTTTTAATTATAAAATTAAATTGAAGTGACCTTGAATTGCATTTGACCTTGAATTAAAACAGAAAAATATAAATAGCAAAAAACACGCCACCTTCGATTTGAGTAATTTTTACATATTATGTCCGTCACAATGTTCCTAACCATCTGTGAAAAAATTGGAGTGGGCCATTCATAACTTTCGCGGCAAACGCCGTTTTCATGCATCAACATCACGCAACCGCGCGTGACCTTGAAAGACAGAGTCAAGACATGCTTGCTTGTGTACACTTTCTGAAATGAATGATTGCTGATTAGTGATATCTCAAACTCTGCGAGAATCGAAATGCATAGTCATCGTAGTCAAGCATTCACGTTCCATTGTAAAAGTGTCTCAGGCAAACGGTATTTTGCGGTGAATTTTGAGCCGTGTGGAAATGCATCATGAAATAAATTCAACGAAAACATTATCACGTAACGATATCTTCACGTCTTTTGATCTTCACTATACGAAAGAACATACATTTTTGAGTATGTATGGGGAATTTCTAGTTAATCCGATAATAAATATGGCAGTTAGAGTCCTGCTAAGAGTAACATGTCGCCGGCTGAGGCGGGATCGGCCGACGCGGGAAACGCAGCAGTCACAGTTTTGTGTTTACACGTTCATATTTCAATTGTTTACCAACCTATTTTCAGAATTCTTTCACCATAAGATTGCCTGTACATTTCTTAGTCTTCTCACAAAATTTGACGCGAATCGAACGTAATCAGCGGTAAGGAGCGCGATGTAAAGACGGAACCGTTCCGTTCCGTCCCGGCACAGTCTACAATTCAGGCGGCGCGTAGCGGTCGGCGCCGGCTGCCGAGTCGCCGCGTCGCCGCGGCGACAGGATGTTCACTTTACACCGCTATTACTAGAACCGTTGTGAACCGATTTTCTTATTGCTTGCACGATGAGATGTGCAATTCAATTCTGGACAGGTAGCCATAAGTAATTTCGCATCAATATTATGAGATATTGGCGAAAAACAGGAGGGGTGGGGCGAAATTCACTCTTCCCCCTCCACTGCGCGTGCTAACATACGTTTGCATATGTGCCATTTTCTTCAAAAGTTATGAATGGCCCACTCTAATTTTTTCACAGGTTGTTAAGAATATGGTAGGCAATAAAATATATGAAAATGAGCCAAATCGAAGGTGGCGTGTTTTTTGCTATTTCAATTTTTGTGCTTAAGAACAGAGTTAAGCAAATTTCAAGGTCATATATTTAAGTCGATGCAATTCTAAACAAATGCTTAAGAAATTACCTAAACAGTAAGGTTTATTTCATTCAAATCAAACAAGTACAACCAAAGTTATGGTCGTTCAAAAATATAAAGATGCAACATTTTGTAAAAATTTGATGCCCTATATTTAGAAGACCTGTGGTCAGAATGTGCAAAAAACATCAATGTAATGTCCGGGGCGACACAGGAACTCGCTCACAAATTTATAATGAAATCGCTGATGGTAAGGTGCAAAACAGCCGATTTTTGTTCGATTTGACGTGGAATGCCCCAAATGGCCGGTGCCGGCGCTTCTCGTTTCCACGTATTTGAAATGAATTGTCTTGCCAGTACTGCGCTGAAGTAATGTGTCGCACCTTTACCTCGACAGCGATGCTCTCGGCAACACTAGCCTTTGTAGCAGCCATTGTTTTCGTTAGCGCTGCTTTAATGCTAGTTGGTACTCCTAGTTAATAAATAGCTTAGGTAATGCTCCTAAACGCAGCCCCGGAGGTACTGGATCTGCCCGACACTCGCCTCAAGAGAAGGTGGAGTGTCTGGAAGCGTGCCATTTCGGCGCGCAGGATAGCTGTCCGGAAAATATACCACATTCTTGGGAGGTTGGGGGCGCCGACAGGCTCACCCACCGGTGGTCACGGCTGAGAGCCTCTCCCCACGCGGCCGGAATGGGTTTCTGACGGGTCCTGTACCCAGTCCATTAGTGGCTCGGTGCCTGTGCGCCGGCCGGTGCCTGTTCTTCAGAGCAGTGACCCGCTGTGTCTGTTGGGCTGGTTTTTCGGCGGTGTGCGGGCCCCCTGCAGTATCGCTGCTCTGTTCTCTGTGTTCTGTGTCATGGCTATTTTTTGCTCTGTTCTCTGTGATGCATTGTTTCAGTGCTGTGATTTGCACTGCAACACTCTGTAGGCAGCGCTACTGTGTTCTGCTCTGCTTGTAGGGGAAGTGATGTTTAATGTTTTGTATAGTGTATTCATGTTCACCGTGCTTTACGCCCTGTTGCCACCATGTGTTGCGTAATCACCTGCGCTTTAACATTACCGTGTTAGTGACCATCTTTCTCTTCTTTCCAGAGCCCGTACGTCAGCTACACGGCCGATGGCTACACCCCGCTGGCGGCCCTCTCCAGTATGATGCTGGGCGGGGGCGGCACTCCGGGCGGACCTCCGCCGCCCGCCGCCCGACACAGCGCCTTCAGTGCGGCACCGCCCCCGCCGCCCCCGCCACCGCCGCCGCCGCCGCCCGCCGCGCCGCCCGCACACTGCTATGGTGAGTACCGAGTAGTCCGCAGTCAGCAATTACCGAGACTGTTGACTGTTTATTTGCCTGACCGCCCGGGTGAAGGGGAGAGAGCGACCCACTTAGGGAGAGGAGAGGAGTGGAGTGCCGCGGAGGGTAGTCCGTTACTTTATTGAGTGTTCATTTGATGAGGTGTAAACACATGCTGGTTGGTTACTGCGCTCAATGAAGCAAATAATCGTCAATTCATCTTCGTATAAAACGGGCACACGACTGCAAACAATTCTTAAGGAGAGCGCTTTGGAATTGGACGTCCCCACTGGCCCTTGTTAATAAGATGGTATGGTAAGCATATAATTATCTCACAAAGCGTCCGATGATGTTAGTGGCCATTGGTCATTCTCATCACTCATGAGTCATGAGCCATATTTAACGACTGCCGAGGCATTGCCTCTAGCGACTGATGCACTGCTTAGGGGTGAACGCCTGCTTCCGACGGATTTTTGTTTTCAGTCCCCTCATCCCCTCTCTCGTGAATTTCCGGGAAGCACGAAAGATCCCTTTTAAAAAAGTATTCAATCGTCCGATGCTGATCCGATGCTGATAGTAAGCTTGTTCTGGCATTGCTTGATCTGCCAAGACAGACAAACTTGAGAAAAAAAAACGAGTGACTACCTTTCTTGAAAGTTTCTATCCAACTTGTCAGAACTTCACGGGGGATCGGATGTGTGGTTTGAAAAAAAAACACGTCGATATAGTGTGTAACAGTGATAACACACGCGTGGATCAGAGGCTTCGTGCGTAACTATGTAGTCTTGGTCGAGCCACGATGCCAAATCACATGCGCAGTGTTGCAGAGTGGCTCTTCAGGTATAATCTAGCGTTTCCGACTGGCTCCTTGTATTTGTCGAGCGGATTAGAGGCATCGAGGGTGCACACTATCTTTGAAGTGTTTGGAGAATGATGTGATTGAGACAACGTTCGCTGCAAATTCCTGTTCCTGTAGATTTTGGGCTGCAACGTGTATTCATTTTTATGCATTTTGGGACATTTTTAACTTCGCTTATCTCTTTTCCTTTCGTATTTTTACGGTGTTTCGAGACATTTTCTTGTGCTGATAAAGACGTAAGGTTTTAACAATTATCAATTATTTCTGTTGAATAATTTTCTGCGACTTTAAAACTCAACATTTTCCTATGATCCCCTCCCACATCCTACCAATCATCAGCCCTCAATCGGCCATCACCTCTCGCGCCGGGCATAGCTCGTGTGATCGCCGGGCTCGGTCCACCAGCACGGTCACATTTCTGTTCTTATCTGCGGTGGTCCGTGCAAACAAGCGCCCGGTCGCTGCCACGTCGGCCACCGCTGCCGTACTCAGTACAGCGCCGCGGTAGTGAGCGGGGAGTGCTGTTGGTGAGCGGTGGCAGTGTGATTCTGGACAGCGGTGGTTTGGAGTTCTGTACGCGCCGACCGGTTTGAGCTGAGGAACTCCGAGCGGACATACCGTAGGTGGTGGAAGGTAGTCGGGAAGGGGAGGGAAGGAGGGGAATGCTTGATTGATGTGCGCTTTGAGGTGTGTGGATGGATCGAAAGGTGGTGATGCCAGGCCGCACATGCCGCGGTTTTGTCGGGAGTTGGTGAGAACACGCTGTTGACAAGAAACTTACCTATGGTCAATCACATTTGATAGAAACTCTTTTGTATGATCAGCACCCTGCGAGGATTAGCCCTAGCTTTTCTGGGACGATTTGTTCACAAGGCCAACCTTGACAATTGAGCTAGTGACCACCCAGTTTTCTAAGCGCCGCGCCGGCTCCATTCAGCTTTTACCAACCAGTGAAGCGGTGCTCCCCTGCATGCCTCGGCGCTGTTTTTACTCCATCCCGCATGCCTCTCTCTCTCCGTCTGTATCTGCGGAGGCGGACCATTGTGATCCGTTCGCCGGGCCCGCCGAGCGGCTCACCACTCTCCTCTCATCAGTATGGAGGGCCGGCGGACGGGCGGGCAGAGCGACCAGCTCACCCCGCGCCGGCTCAGCACGGCGGCGAACCGCCCCGGCCCCCGCCCTCGGCCGACCGCGACCGGTAGCGGCACCTTCCGCTGTCGACACCGCTCCGACAATCAGTGGCGGTGCCAGGAAACCCGGAGGGGGAGCAGGTGGGAGGGTCGGCCGACGGTCCCGCGTCAGTGCCGCCGCCTCTGCCACCGCCGGCGGCGCGCAGGTGTGGGTGTGTTGGTTCTGGTGTGAGTTCCCGGCGCGCCCTGCAGCGCCGACCGACTCTGCCCGCCACTGCCACACTGGCCTCAGAGACCCGAGAGGGGACGCAAATAGCCGACGGCGGTGTTCGGTCGGAGCGTTTTTGTCGGTCGATGAGGTGCGCCGCCTAGTGACCGCTCGATTGAGAGCGAGCTGCGACTGAGATGGTCATCGCAATCGGGCCGTCCGCATGTCCGTGCAGCGCATTAGTGGACAATGGACATCCCATTCCGTCTATCCGTCCGTCTGCCTGTCCGTCCGTCTGTCCGTCTGTCCGTCTGTCCGTCTGTCCGTCTGTCCGTCTGTCCCTTCTGTCCGTCTGTCCGTCTGTCCGTCTGTCCGTCTGTCCGTCTGTCCGTCTGTCCGTCCATCCGCCTGTCTGTCTGTCTGTCCGTCCGTTTGTCCGTTTGTTCGTTTGTCCGTTTGTGCCTCTGTCCGTCTGTCCTGTCTGTCCGTCATTCAGTCCGTCTGCCTGTCCGTCCTTCCGTCTGCCCGTTTTTTTCCTGTCCGTCCATCAGTCTGTCCTGACCATCCGCTCGTTTGTCTGTCCGTTTTCCCCGTCTGTCCGACTGTGTCCTATCCTTCCTTCCTTCCTTCCGTCCGTCCGTCCATCCCTCCTGTCGTCCGTTCGTCCTACTGCCAGCTGTTGTCCTGATTGGCTCCGTCTATTGACCGCTCCCGCTCTGTCCGGGGCTTCTTGAACAGTACTGCTCTCGGACGTCCGGGGACGGACCCGACGGTCGCGCTCATCACGGGAGGGTGGGTGACGGCCGCAGAGAGGCGAGAAGACAAGAGGAGACCGAACTGAGGGTGTCAGACGGGATATCGACGAACGCCGGTGGAAATTGGAGCGAGATAAACGTGTTAGTGCGCGGCAAATATGAGATGAGGTAACCGCTGCAGGGAGGAACCTTCCGCTATGCTCGAAATGTGCAACGTGCATTCGTACTCCTTGCTTTGCCAATATTTTGTTAAACGAGCCAGTTATAATTTGCATACGTTGCGCTCGTTGATGCATGATAAATAGTCAGGGAGGGGTGTTGAAGCACTAAGCCAGCCGTGGTTTCGACGCGCCCCTCCCTAGGCGCCGACGCCGATAGTTTAGTGGTTGTTATCCGCTCAATCCGAACATCACCGGCCTCCGGCGTGGAGCGAGATTAAATTAGCATGGTATGGCAGAGTTGAGCGGCGAAGAGTAGCTCAAACTTCGCCGAAATGGCTACTTAAAAAGTTTGGGTGGCTGCTATGCGATTGGTTTTCTTAGTGGAGCTTTGAGGCTTTCCTATCGGTGAATTTACTTTGCAGCATATATATTTGGAATTCTGGCTATCTTGTTTATGCGCCTTCTGTGAGTGTCCTTGGCAAAACCAATGCAGTCTCTCTCGTCGCTTATAGCCGGAATTCTAACGGCCTTCCGGTCTTTGGATGTCCGTCTTGGTCATGCGCTTTATGTTGACCTCTCAACTGGTTGAAAACTGGTCTTGCAGTCGAACCTCTCTCTCCTCTCTCTAGTCTCTGGTATCCGATTAGCTCAGCAAACTCCACCCTCGGCAGCTGCTCTCTGCAGCGGGTCGGCGCTTGGCACGCCGGTTCGACCCTCACCGGATGTTTTCTGGCGTCCGTGCCAGACCGGTCGGTTATCGCTGCCCCGCTGCCGCCGAACGGAGTCCGACCCAGTCACCGAGACTGCCACTGGCGGTAGAGTGGGTGAACAAAATTGTCTGAATGGAGGTGTCGTATGGTGATGTTTTTTTTCATAAGTTACGTGAGTTGCTCGTCGAAATGCTGCAGCATCTACATAAACAAGCTACCTCCCTTTCGCTTTCTTTTTCTGTTCTCGTTTTGTTTCCGAAGTTTATCGACTCCATCATGGAGGTGATTTATCGTCTGACTGGTTATTTCAGTTTGTGGTGGACATCTCGACACAAATCCTTACCGCCACGATGAACAACTTTGTAACTTCAGTAAAGACGTTGCAAAGTTGTGCACTTGATCGAGTGGCTTCAGCTAATCTTGCTTCACGATTCTCAAAATAAATGTTCTGTCTTGCTTGGCTATTGTTGGTAGTAAATATAGTTTTGCTTATCCATAATGGAAAATAATTGAGGAATGGAAACTCAGAAAGGCTATGGTTAAAAGCTCCTGAGTGATGATGATTGAGTGAGATGAAACGACTGTTTGAGTTGTCAATGTCAACAGAGACAAAGATTGGCGACGATTTACTCGAGTGTCGCTAACCAATAACCATTTACATATGTTGATGTGACGTCTGAGTCATGATCAAGCAGGTGAATGACAAGTCATTCATTTCTGCCGATGCGCCTAATCCAGATAGTGGCAAAACATGCATTGCTCACATTAGTATTGAACACTTCATTTCATTTTAACTTATTCCGTCCAGTACCGTGTATTGCCCTGAGTATGTGTTTAGCTTACAATTGAATGCCTCATCACGGCCACTAGCTACCACTGTGGCCTGTGCACTACTCGTATGCAGTGTGCACTGTGCAATGTTCACGTCTCTCCTGCAATACATGAAGGAGCGGCTCCCGCCCCGGAGTTCAGAGGCCAGCCCCGCCCGCCTCCGCCGCCGCGCCGGTTACATAAACATATTCCGAGTGGCGCTCACTGATAGCTTTCCAGCAGCGCCGATCGGCGGCTACCGTCCAAAGAACGGCCCACATCAGCATAATTCACAATGTGGGACGCCATGCCTCTCAGCTCCATAATCCGGCACCTCTAAGTGACGGTGTGACACTGCACCGGACGC